CATTTTCTTTTCTCTCCTACACATCTCTGTGTGTGTCACAGACAAGGAAAGTAAGCAATCATCTGTAGCCTATTATTTCTTTTTCATGCCTGTGCGTCATTTATCAAAGATGCAACATGAACTGATATGACACTTGCAAGAAAATTGCTGGCATCTTTTAGTCACTTACGCAGATTTCCTTCTAGAGATGGAGAGAAATTAAACCACCCCACACATCAGGGCAACATAAATGCCTACTTGTGTGTCCCTGATAATAAGTGCTGTCTGATGACGTGTCCTGGCTTCTATCACAGTACAAAACCTTTTTTTTAAATATCTTAAAAAGCGGCTTGAGAGTCGTGAACACACATTCTCTCTGGGGTTAATTTGTGTATTCACAGTCATGCTGAAAGTTGCCTGCCGAGGAAATTACATTTTCCCCCTTTGTTTTTGCTGTACAGGTGGAATGAAACGACTCTCCAGCTTTTCAATGGGTGTTAAAATGGCGACTCTCCCTAAAATTGATTCAGCCATTTGATGCATTTCATATTTTGTGTATTCAGTGACAATACTTTTGCGTCACAGACTCTGTGTGAAAAGGGCCAACCCTTATTATTATCATTATTTCTGTTCATATTTTACATATACTTGCAGACCAAATCAGTCTGTCTGCGAGTGTTCTTCTTGATGCTACCACCTGGGGGCACCAACGTCAGACATTTTTAAATTCTACTCATGAGTTTAACATTTGATACAAAATACTGCATTTTTTAATGCTTTATGTATTTCTTGTGCTCCAGTGGTGCATTCAAACACCGTGGGAGCTTCTGCCTTTAAAACAGCAGCCTCTTTCAAGCCTCTTATAGTACATTTTTTGGGTGCATGTAGATGGGGCTGTTTGAAAAGGAAAACAGATGTAGCCTATGACATGTTTTCTTAGCCATAAACACACAGACATAAAATCAGCAGGCAGTTTGAGCTGTGTTGCTGAGAGTCAATTTTTGTGCGGCCATTCATGTCATGTTTCCCTGACCCTGCCACTTTGCACTGCACAGCAGGAGGTGGTACTGAGTCAGAGCAGTAGTCATTTGATCGTTTTCTGCTGGTTCTGGGGTCAGTTTCGCCGTAGTCACCCTGTCATTGAGTCTGTACTTTTCCAAACAGCACCATCAATCATGGCTGAGTGTGTTTTTGTGCAGCGAGGAGACTAGGAGGATGCTACAGTAGTATTTGTGACAAATAACACATTTATATGCGACGCTCATTTTAAGCAGGAGGATTCTGGTTTTTTGGCTGCCAGTAAGATGGAGGGGATGTCAAATTTTGTGATGCGCTGGTGCGGTCCATCACTTCACATGGCTCCTTCCACACTCCCATCAGCAGCAGCAGCAGCAGCAGGCTGCTCTTCTATTGGCACAAACATGGATATTTGTCACAGAGCCAGCACAGATTCAGCTTAAAGGAAGCTCAGAATGTGTACGGTATGTTGTTGCTGGTAATATTTGCCACTTTCATGGTGAAATAGGTAGCTAACACCTGTCAGGGTTACTGCCAGTGCCAGCATCTCCTTGGGCTGCCAACAAACAGTCACTGTGATACAACAAGGCACCAGACACACATTATAAGATCTGCTTAAGTCTGTGTTTGCTTCTGTGTTTTCTGTTTCACATCCTATACTCACAAATCTGACCCATAGTCAGACACCTCTCAGTCTTGGGATGTCACACAGCATTTTACTCTAAAGTGCATCGTCCCCTACAGCTCTTTAAGAGCATGGTTGCTGACAGTAATCTTTTCAAATGACCAAAGAACTGGCATGTGCCTTCACATTGAGTCTGAGTGGGTACAGCCTGAACCATGTAAGCATTATCAAAAAGGAGTGTTGCCACCTGTCAAAGGCAAAGTGGGGTAAAATTGAGCACACCCCACCCTGCAACATCAGGAAACATACTTGCATCCTACACCATGATGTCCAGTGAAGTCTGAAAATTTGAGGTGACCAACACTGATATGTAATATCTTTTTTGGAGTTGAAGTGGCTGTTGGGTTACAGTGTTTGCCATTTAACAAAGAAATAGTAACATTAGTATTGTAACATTGTAGTAAAACTCCAGGATGTGGCTACAAGAGATTAATTTCTAGCAGTATGTACTGAGCAATGGTTTAAATGGGGAATGCCAGGAAATCTGAGGGGAAAAAACAGACTGCTTCTTTTGTTTTTAGCACTTTTGACACCATTTTATTCTCGAAATTGGTTTCTTTTTAATGTTTTTGTTCATGTTTTTAGTCATCTATGCACAGTATGTGTAAGACCTGCATGCATTAGGCTGTAAAGATGACTGAAAGTGAATGGAATCCAATTCTAGCTCTATTATGATTTCACATTTTGGTTTAGAAGACACCAAACTGCTTCAGATTCAAGTCTTTAAGGCTGATTTTTGGAAGAAATTTCCTCTGATATTTTAATTATTTTTGCATACATGGTGTCCCCATAAGGTTCCCTTGACCCAGATTTGGGAATCAAACTGTTAAAGCTCATAAAAACATGAAATCATCAGTGTTTTAATGGAGTATTTGTATACAATATTTGGAGGGTTTCATGTCTGCAAGAGGTATTTTGGGGGCCCTTTTTGTCAAGCATGCACAATATGTACATTTGCATGACTTACCGAGCAGCGAACCTATGAGGATGAGAACCTGGAGGGTGGTGGTGAAGTCCCTGTATGCTTGCTCTCGGATGAGGCGCTGCTGCTGCTCACCCAGCCCGGTCCCCTCGGCAGCCGGGCTGCTGTCCCACCGGGTCGGCGGGCTGGAAGCGTTCAGGAGATCCAGCCAGAGGTTGGCTGCTGCTGCTGTGAAATTGGCTGCACCGTCTCCGACCGTCGCAGCCCGGCTCCCACTATCCATGTCGGCTCAGCCCGCGATCCTGACGCTTTTTGAAGACGGCTGGCGGGATGTCAGCAGCCAGCATTGGAGAAGCTTCTCTGTGGGGATGATGGTGATGATGCCTTAAAAATAGTGGGGATGAATATCTAAAAAACACAGCTTGCATGCAGGGATGTCAGTGAAGATGTGACACAGGCAGGTAATGCGCGCAGCTGCCAGCAGTGAGAGGATGTTTTGTCAGTGAATATGTCTGGAAAAAACATGGTGAGATGATCATACATCAAAAATAGCAGGCTGGATGACCCAGAATTCCCCAATGCGGATGCATGGCAGAAATCAGTCAGTGTAATCCGTGCGCAGTGAGGTCGGTTGGATGCGCCTCTCTGACATCCAGTGCTCCTAAAACCACAGCGGGTGGCGAAGTGTCCGCCCCGGGGAGGAAGCCTGCAGCGCCGGGAACACACTGGCATCACCTCCGGGAAAAATCTTATGTCTGTCAGGTCTGGTACTCAGGCTGCTGCCGCTGCCAGTCGCACGGTCAGAGGCTGTTAATTGGTAGACTGACTGGTGTGGGGAGCCTGCGAGTGAATATCTCACAGCGTGAGGTGTAAGACTGGAGAGGAAGAGCCCCTCCTCTTCATCTAGCACCAAGAAACTCCATTGAATCTTATGAATGACAAGCAGGTGATGAAGGGGAGTGTGGCCGAATTACATACTGATCAGATGGGTAAACATCCTGTCACCCAAACACACTTAAATCAGCCATACTTTAAAAAACATAAGTTATCCTCAAACACTTATGTATACATTTTTATAACAATAAAGCCAACTATCAATCCGTTGTCAACCCCAAAAGGTTTTCAGATATTCAAAGGTAACCACAGAGTTTAACCTCAACAACAACCCTGCTGTTGTTTTGCCAAGGCTGTTCTCTCACAGGAGCTTGTGACATTCCTCTTTGGTTTGCTGAAAATACCAAAATAGGAGAAGGCACGCTCCAGTAGGACAAAACAGTTTTCTATAATTTGCTTTATGTGTTAATTAGTAACAGTGAATCTATTTGTGCTCTCTTTTGTGTGAGGCGGCGAGGGATCCCTGAGGAGGTGCTCATTTGTGGACTCACTGTGGAGAAAAGCTCAGGATCAATGCATGAACATTACTTATTCATACATTTCAATGAAAATACTGTAAAGTAAACCTCTGTGGAGAAACACTAGGAGTCCTCCTGGAAACAAAAGGAAGCAGAGGATAAAAAAAACCTTCACTCCAAGCATTTATATTTGTTGAATGAGAGCACATTACAGATGCCTGACATTCTGTGCTTTAGTAAGATGTCATGCGTGTCCGCACCAGCTTCTGTAAAGACACGCTTCACACAGGCTGAAGGAGATGTCAGTGTCAGAGATGCCCTTCTCTGATGCAGACTACATTGTTAATAAAATCCCTGAGAGGCAACCTTACATCATCAAAGTAAATCCACTTCCCTTTGAAACAGAACAACGGCCCTTCATGTAAAAAATTCCAAGGTTCTGAACTTTAACATGGGAATTAAAAACAGTAACTGTGGGATTAACGTTGATTTAATGCCTTTGTTTCACAATCTTTCATCACAGTCTGTTTCACATTATATTGTGTGTAACCAAACATGGCTCACATGATGTGTAAAAAGACATCAAAGATAAATGTAGGAAGGCTGAGCTGCCACTAGATGCCAACATTTACACAAATGAGGATTCACATTCATGGAGTTTATTTCTGGGAGGCTAATGAACCTCATTGCTGTACATAACTTTATTATAATAACACCCATTAGTGTAAGAGGAGGACTTGTTACAGTTTGAAACAATGCTGTGATGCAACTGCTGATCATTTTAGTGTAAGACTGATTCTTGTAGAACACCACAATTACTTACAGTGTTATAATCTTTTGCTCTCAAACCCTGAGCTAGATAATATGGCTGCAGAATGAGGTGTAAAACAATCATTATTGTTCAATGCAAAATGTTAACACAAAACCTCACCACTCAAAAGAAAATCCTTTTCGAACCACAAACAAAATAATCAAAGTGTTAGCATCTACACCAATCAGCCAAAACAGTAAAACCACTGACAGGTGAAGTGAATAACATTGATTGTTTCATTACAGTGCAATGTTCTGCTGAAAAACCTTTGGTCCTGGCATTCATGTGGATGCCCCTTTACGAACTCCATCCACCTAAACATTGTTATAGACCAAGTAACCCCACTCATTGCAAAAGTACCCCTGATGGCAGTAGCCCCCCAGCAAGGCAATGCACCATGCCACACTGTAAAAACCTCTCAGGAATGGCCAAACATCGACCTAGCTTTCAAATTTCACAGATCCCAATATGATCACGCATCTGTGGGAGAAACCGGTGCCCAGGAGGTCCTTTGTCCAGGCCTCAACAGGTCAGAGTCAAGTCCAATCTATGATCGGGCCTCTGACCTTTCGAGGCATGGAAACAGGACCTCTGGGGGTGTCCTGTGTTGTCTGACATCAAGGCGTTGTAGACAGATCCTTTGAGTCCTGTGGGTTGTGAGGTAAGGTACCAGCATGCCCAATGGATGTTCGATCAGATTGGGATCTGGGGAATATTGGAGGCCAAGTTCAGGAATGTGACAAAGAGCTCAAGGCATCAACCTAGCTTTCAAATTTCACAGATCCCAATCTGATTAAGCATCTGTGGGACAAACCAGTGCCCCGGGGGTCTTTTGTCCAGGCCTCGACAGGTCAGAGTCAAGTCTGATCTATAATGGAGCCTCTGACCTGTCGAGGCCTAGACAAAGGACCTCTGGGGGTGTCCTGTGTTGTCTGGCACCAAGGCATTGTGGACAGATCCTTTGGGCCCTGTGGGTTGCAAGGTAAGGTACCGGCATGCCCAACTGATGTTCGATCGGATTGGGATCTGAGGAATTTTGGAGGCCAGGTTAAGGAATGTGACGAAGAGCTCAAGGCATCGGCTGAGCTTTCAAATTTCACAGATCCCAATCGGATCAAGCATCTGTGGGACAAACCGGAACCCCGGAGGTCCTTTGTCCGGGCCTCGACAGGTCAGAGCAAGTGTGATCTATGATGAGGCCTCTGACCTGTCAAGGCCTAGAGACAGGATCTCTGTGGGTGTCCTTGGTTGTCTGGCACCAAGGCGTTGTGGACAGATTCTTTGAGTCCTGTGCATTGTGAGGTAAGGTACTGGCATGCCCAATGGATGTTCGATCGGATTGGGATCTGGGGATGTGGGAGGCCAGGTCAAGGTCTTGAGCTTAGTCACACCTGCCGAGCCGGCAGTTGCCAATAGAGGGGTGTACTTGGTCTGACTTGTCATTTGGGTGGATGTAGCATGTCAAGTAGCATCTACATGAATGGCAGGAACCAAGGTTCCTCAGAAGAGCAATGCACTGTAACAAAATGATCAATGTTATTCACTTCACCTGTCAGTGGTTTTAATGTTTTGGCTGATCGGTACATACTGGAAATTAATAATCATAACACTGCATTTGACACTAACACAAGGAGTGTTGTTGGTTGTTTTCAAGGCAGACATTTTGTGGTGTCATTGTAGGAGAAGCACATGATTGCTACATTACCTTACAATGCATCAGGTCCAGGGTCCTGGTATTGAGCATGCTCACTCAGTGCCTTGCCTTAGCTGAATACTTAAACAAAACAGAAGTGTCATTATTATCGGTGTTAGCGCCACCTGTTATTTTCCTGGTCAAAATATCTGCTGTGAATATTAAATATATCTGAATGCATACTTTTGTGTTGTGTGGTTCATTGAAGCTTATAAGAAAAAAACTCAGTTGGAACAAAATATGCTATAATTGTTTATGGTCCAGAAAAGTCATAAAACCACAGCTTCAACATGAGAACACCCAGACAGCATAATTTAATATCCCTCATTCATTAGACTCTAAAGACAAGGTTAAGCACTGCTCGCTAACAATCACTCTAAGTGTCCAAGTGGCTCTTGAAGAACTCCTGGACCCTTTCCCACAGGTCCAGCTGAGCCTCAATGTGGGCTTTTGGCTCACCACCAAACACCACTTCCCTTCCAACTGCCGCATGGAACGCAGACGGACAATAAGGCATGTAAGGGACTTCCAAAAAGTGTCCGGCTTTCGGGTATGTCACCACCTCAAAAGACTCTTTGCCGTGTTTTCTCAGTGTTGCGGCAGCCTGCTCGGCAAATAACGGACTGTTCCAATTGCAGTCATCTTCAGAAACAGCAAATAGGAACTGGCAGCTGGCACGTTCGATCGGAATCAATGACGCCTTGTTCTTTTCCAAGGAAGGGTCAGATAAGGCATTGCGTATATTTAAAAGCCAAGAGGTTGTGATTCTGATCTTCCAGATGACAGGGGGAAGTGGAGGCATTACAATGTCTTTGTAGTGTAAAGGAATCACAGTATTTGCATTGCAGGTGTTAATACAGACGGTTGCTGAGATCCCAGAGAGGAAAGATGACATGGCCAAAGCCAAACCGCCACTGTGGGAGATTGAGATGATGCCAATCCCAGGACCTTTAACCTGCACACAGAGGTAACTGTGTTAATAATCATGTTTAAAAGATTGTAACCCACTAATATGTCCTAGGATCAATAAATAACAACCATGCCTCAATTATATCCAAAACCATTTAAAAAGGCAAAAATTCCTCGACCCGTCAGTGGCATCGTTACATGTCCTGCTTTGCCTGGCCCAAAACTTAAAGATATTCAGTTTCTTATCACATAAAATGAATAAATTCACATAATAATAAGCTAGAACTGGAGAATTCTAAGAAATAGTTCAGATCAATTTCCTGCCTACTGATCAACTAGATCTGGAGTTATCTTAAAGGTATACTATGCAGGATTTTGGAGCAATAGTGAATAAGCAGGAGAGACGTGTGTTTTGTATCTGCATGGCTCCAAATCATGCCAATTTTGACACGTTGTGACCATGTAGCATCAGCGCGACTTGCAATTATTCTTAATATATAATCTGGAGAGGTGTTAGTTTGTTTCCTGCTCACTTTAGGTAAATCCTCACATTTAACAGCACTATGGTAACAGTTTACCTTTCTGCCAACTGCAAACAACTGCTGACTGGATGTTCTATATTCACACTAATACCCTTTTTACACCACAGTGGCCTTGGTTTGGCCAGTCAGCCTCCACTATAGAGCTTTTTATTTCCATTACAACAAGTGGTACAATAAGTGGTAATGGGAAAAGGGTAGAAAAACATCCACACTTCCAGCCCAAGAACAAGGAAACTATAAAACCTATAAAACCTTTATAATTTACTTGCCTGGAACAAGCAGGGTGCTTAGGAATAAAATCACCAGTGGTTCCGCTTTAATTTATTTCATTTTAACAAAACCTTATTTTAACTGTACTATATTTAACTGTATAATATAACAGTAGTTACTTTATTTAAGATTACTGTATCTATAGTATATTTAGTAGTTTAATGTTTTTGAGACCAAATCTGGGGTTGACTTTTAGTTTTTAGCGCATTTACAAACAGAATCTGACAATCTGCACAGTATACCTTTAAATTTGTATAGTTTGCAAAGAAGGATCTTAATAAAGTCTTGAGTTTGCGTCACATTCACAGATTTGTGTCATCACAAGTGGCCAGCCGATGGCAACATTGACACAGTAAATACAAATATGGACCTAAATATCTAATATATTCTCACTATATTCAATCAGTACAAAATATTTACAACACACCGGGGATAAAATTAAGGTTATATTATTATAAACGTCTATCTTATATCTTATATCTATCCTTACTGTTTTAATCTTCAATACTAACCTCTGGCTGTCTCCTCAGATATGTTACAGCTTCTTCAAAGTACTCCAATTCCAACTTTTTAGGTTTTTTTGGCAAACCCTCGTAGCCAAAATAAGCCAAAGCCAGAACAACAAAACCTTTATTGGCCAAGAGGCTGGCTCTGGCCTCTGTAAGACGACCACCAAATGTGTACAAATCCACTATTCCTGGGAATGGACCCTTTCCTGGAGATGACAAGAAAATAAAAAGGAAGGGGTAAAGGTAAGTAGAGCACTGACATCTCTCTGATTTCTCAGCTATCATCAACAGTGCGCAGCTAACCTGGTGGTACGAAGAGGACTCCTCGTATTCTTCCCTCTTGCACAGGTATTCTCCTCATCCCCTCTGTCATGTAGCCTCTCTCGTTGGTTTCAGACGCTAAGACCTCACCAGTCTCTCCACACAGCGCTTCTATGTCTACCAATGTTGGGCTGACGACGTTCTTCTTCAAGAGTTTACTGTGCGGCGTCTCCGGTGCCATGGACCAAAACAAACCCATGGGCTCCACACCAGTGTAACTTCCTCCCAGAGAAGGTGCACGGCACACGTCCACCTGGCCAGTTTCATCTGCTTTGTACAGGGCAGAAGCCTTGAAAATCACCCCTCTGTCATCAACTAGTTTGGACCTCAGCTGAACTTGTTTGTAAGGAGCAAGTCCCTCAACTTTTACCTGTACCATTTTATCGAAGAGACAGTGAACACTGGGGAAGATTTTCAGGCGGATCTGTGAAAAAGCCATTTCAGCTCCTCAAGATGGAGACAGTGACTCACTGTAATGGTCTTAATGTCCTTTCCTTTTACTCAAGCCTTTATTCCAATCTTGTAGGTACAGCTAAGTTGTCACTGCATCTGTTAAGGCAATGAAGAATCAAATTAATATCTTTCACCACACAAAAAAACCCACCTCTATGTCTATAAATGTCATCTTATTCTTTAAAAACCCTCACCAAACAGTATCAAAATAGTTTTACTGAGAAACTTTGCTGTGAATTTTCACTAATCTTCAATAACATTCTTCAAAATAAAAATTATCCGATGTTGCACAGAGATATTTTTTGTCTGCAATTTACTGATTTATTTATACCAAGGGGTTTTACACTTTATCTTGGGACCCAAACTATATATTTTAAGTATCCTGGGCACCTAACCTCATGAATATGTATTAGGGCTGGGCAATATATTGGTATTATATTAACATTATGATATGAGACTAGATATTGGATTGGATTTTGGATAAAGTAATATCATAAGTGTTCAATTCAATTTTTCAATTTTATTTATAAAGCCCAATATCACAAATCACAATTTGCCTCACAGGGCTTTACAGCATACGACATCCCTCTGTCCTTAAGACCCTCACAGCGGATAAGGAAAAACTCCCCCAAAAAAACCCCCTTTAACGGGGAAAAAAACGGTAGAAACCTCAGGAAGAGCAACTGAGGTGGGATCCCTCTTCCAGGACGGACAGATGTGCAATAGATGTCGTACAGAACAGATCAGCATAATAAATTAACAGTAATCCATATGACACAATGAGACAGAGAGAGAGAGAGAGAGAGAGAGAGAGAGAGAGAGAGAGATAATGACAGTAGCTTACAACAACATTAATGAAAGTAATAATATTATAGTTATAGTTCTGGCTACTGTGGTACAATATGTTGAAAGTATGTATTAATATCTGGCAGTATACATGTGTGACAATAGTCATATGTGTATAATAACAGTAGAAGTATGACTAATGACTAATGATGGCAGCAGCAGCAGGAGGCATCTGGCAGGACCACGGCAGCAGCACAACCACACACGTCACACTGTCCAGGCACCGCTGCGGTATGAGTTATTCTGAGAGACAGTGGAGCACAAAGGCTCCGGAGAAGAAGCCGAGTTAGTGACATCCAGAATGGCCGAGTTAGCAAGATGCAGTAATAGGATGAGAGTGAGAGAGAGAGAGAGAGAGAGAGAGAGAGGGAGCCCGGTGTATTATAGGGGGTCCTCCGGCAGACTAGGCCTAAGTCAGCCTAACTAAGGGCTGGTACAGGGCAAGCCTGAGCCAGCCCTAACTATAAGCTTTATCAAAGAGGAAAGTCTTAAGTCTAGTCTTAAATGTGGAGACGGTGTCTGCCTCCCGGACCGTAACAGGAAGATGATTCCACAGGAGAGGAGCCTGATAGCTGAAGGCTCTGGCTCCTGATCTGCTTTTGGAGACTTTAGGGACCACGAGTAACCCTGCGTTCTCAGAGCGCAGTGTTCTGGTGGGATAATATGGCACTATGAGCTCTCTAAGATATGATGTGATATGATATGTGTTGTCTTTTCCTGGTTTTAAAGGCTGTATTACAGACTGTTCCAGCTGTTCTATTATTTGCATTTTCCCCAATTTGTCAATATATCTATATTCCTGATTATTAATTATTAAAAAAAATCTCTCTTTTGTGAAAGCACTTATAGTCAACATTACAATATCGTCGCAATTGTATCCTACTCCTCGCCTTTAGGGCCATCCACAACCTAGCTCGGTACCTCTCCCAACTCTAACACATCCACACCCCCACCTGCACTCTCAGGTCTTCCTCTTCCATCCACCTCACTGTCCCGCCAGCCTGCCTGACCACTATGGGGTCTAGAGCCTTCAGCTCTCGCCTCTGGAGCTCCAGAGGCTAGAGCCTTCAGCTCTCGCCTCTGGAGCTCCCCCCCACCGGACATTCTTAACATCAACCCTCTCTCCACTTTCAAATCCCGCCTCAGAATTGAACCTCTTTCAACTAGCCTGTTCAGTTTGACTACCTACCTAGCCACACATCCGCTATTTACACAGAATTTTATTAACTGTAAACTTGTTTGCTGAATATTTATTTGTTATTTTATTAGTCATTTATTTATTTAATGTTACTTAATTCCTTGCCTCAACGACTTTTTTAATCTGCTGTCATTTGCTCTATCTTTGTCTGTAAGGTGACCTTGAGTGCCATGAAAAGCACCTATAAAAAAATGTACTATTATCATTATCAAAAATATTGTTATTTTTGTTCTGTCCATATCATCCAGCCCTAGTGCAATTAATCACCATAATGTCAACATTAACCTGTTATCAGTTAGGACTTTAAAGAAACTTTAATTAAAATACTGACATTTATTGACCTTCAATAGATCATTTCACATGCCACCACCAACCTTGTTTTACATTTTTACAATCACACTGTGAGGAGTGCCTTGAACCTGGGCACAAAGTATTCAATCACAAGAAGGAGGCATTAATCCAGCTGTTTGGTTTTGTGACTGAATGATATGTATATGATATATACATGATATATTTAATATAGTCTGCATAGATGAATGCATTAACAAGGCCCTGCACAGACATTTAGGGGCGGGTAAAACGTTTTACAAGGCCATGAGTAAACTGTATGAAAACATTTATCACCTTTCACCCACATGCTTATAACTCCTTGACACAGTCACATGAGCAGCACCTGTGTGTGTAGATAAACATGTGTCAAGCTATGGCCTGTGACTGGAGATGTTTTAACTGAGAAATGCTGGGAGTCTTCATCTGAGGGAGAGCAGGTCATTCAGGGACACAGTGATGTCTAACTGGGTGAAAGGTCAAGACAACGCATTTCACTATTCTACAAATGTAAAAAAGAACCAGTGAGAAGTAGTTAGCAACCAAAACATGAAAGCTAATTTTCCATTGTGGATGAACTCCTCCTGTGGATGTAAGTTAGCTAAATTAGCTGACAAAGTTAGCCTGATACCAAAATAAGTGTGCATGTCTGCATGTTCTGGTCTATTTACCGCCTTTGTTTTGAACCAACTGGTTTTCCGTAAAGCCTCCTAAGTCATACTGCCAATAATAATCGAAGCATGGTCTCCAAACAGTCATAAAATAACCGAAAACATACCTGTACACACAAGTAGCATTGACGTGCACGAAGATATGTAAAATAACTGTAGATGCAGAAGTACCCAACAGGAGGCAACCGGGCGCAACCACTTTGCCAGTGTAGGGGGGAGCCGGTTTTTGGATCAGCTTCCTTTGGTGTGTGTTTCTTTTGTAAATGTATGGCTTTGTGTACTAATCGTATGCCAAAATACTCATTTAAAAAACTGAATTAAAATAAAAATCTGAGAAGAATTGTATGGCAGCGCGACGAGGACAGCATGTGTCCATCTCCCCCTGTGTGAAATGTAGCCGTCCATATCTCTGACAGTTGTACCTGAGCCCCAGCAAAAAGTTAAAGTTAGCCTCTTTAAAATATGAGATAAAAAGAAAATAAGATGTTACTTTAATAAATTATAACTTTTTTTCCAACAAATATGACTCGATTCATGAACCTTCACATGTGTGTAGGAAGCGGTAGCAGCCACTAGATGTCAGCATTAGCACAGAAAATTAACACTTAAGCAAGCTGGAAAGGTTAAGATGCCCTTCCTGTACAAGAGTAACATTTAATTTCCATCTCCTAACACGATATATGGCATTTGGATGTAGCTATGCCCTTGTGCTATCAGCAAGAACACAGTAAGACAAGACAAGTACATGATGGGAAACTCATTTACATCACATGCTCCTCCTATGGAATAGATTATCTGATTAGCTGGACCACCTTGCTGCATATATTTTCATATTAATGAGCAAAATGGCAGGACACTGGGCTCAGCTGCTTCATGTTTATCTCAAGGGTAGGCCCTTGCATGTGTTGTCAGAGGTTTTCTACAGGACTCAATGACATGTCAAGGTGTTTAGCTGGAGTTGTATCCAATTAATCATTGGTTGGCCTGTGCCAGGACTTCAAACCCTCTGGGATCCTGAAGGGAGAGGAATCTTTCATGGATCAAAATAAAAAGGGACATTAAGACAGGAGGGGGTGCAAGTAGAGACCAGGGAGGGAGCCAGCTGACACTGGAGAAAGTGAAAGTAAAAGTGGATTTAATAACAGCTATGTTAACACACTTGTAAACATCTGGCAATTGTGTTTGTGCTATTTGAATAACATTTTTAGGATTCTACCTGATAGTGATCTGTGTTTGGACTTTGAGGCACTTTTCAACACATTTTTTCTATATTTAGAGTAGCACCTCTTTAGTCATTGGTGGAGTTTGAATTTCCTTCCTATCAACAGCCGTTGCATGAAATGATTCATATGACTTGAGTTGACCTTTGCACCATTTTCCAAGTGCAATAACATCGTACCAAGCACAAAGACAGGTTATTTAGACATTTGGAGAACAGAGGAAATATTTCAAAGAAGAAAAACAGGGACAAAATGTAAAATACGAATTTATTAACCATAAAAATATGAGGAATACCTCCACAAAATACTATGAGCCATTAACATAAATTCTTGTCTAAAGAATATTGCAATATAAAATATTTATCTCACCTTGCTAAACCATGAAATGAGTGCAGTTTCTTAAAGGCACCTACTTTCTATGTAAAGTGAAAATGACTTCGAGGATAAAGGATAGATTATTATATGATATGGATGAAATTATCCTGACATTTAACTCACACTATATCTTTCTAGTCAACATTTTTGGCTGCCCTATATGTAGCCTATTTTATGGGTCCAGAAAACCAGTAACTCATTAGTTTTCTTTAGAACAATTACTCCATATATGTGGAAGAGATGACTTACACAAATACTGTGTATAGGTTTAAACTGGGGATTTCAAAACCAAGTGACTGCCTGTTTTGATGTTTCTTTGCAGTGACGCATTATGTTTCGCAGGGTTACAGTGCAGAAGAGTGAACTGCAGTTAGGTGAGATGAGAGATCTCACTTCCTTCACCCGCTCAGTGAATGAAAGTAGAAATTCCACCCACTCATTCTCTTCTATCTTCTATGTGCAGGCACATTGTGTAAATACAGTGCAGCACTTAATGGAATATATTCATGGGCTTACTGTACAAGCAGGTTGTGTAAATACAGTGCAGTGCTGGACATCATATAGCGGAATATGCTCGTACTGTACAAGCACCTTTAGATCACATGTGTGTTTATTCATGACCTGTACACCTCTCATCTAGGTGCACTTCTAATACATATGCAGGCTGTGATGATGTGATCTCTGCAGCAGCAACAGCTATAAAGAAAACCCATCTCAGATGATCTAATCAAACAGCCTTGCAAAAGCAAAAGCAACAGCTAAGACTGTGTGAACTGATAGAGATGGCTGTGACATTGCAGTCACAGAAACGTTCTTTCAGATGGCACAGCTATAGGTACTCATAGATAAGTAGTGTAGATGATGCAAAAGCAGGCAATACACATCATAAAAGCTCAGGGTGCAAACATCAGTGTGTGAAAACATGAACCTATAGTCCACTCTTTAATGTCTTTTTCACCTTTACCTCTCTGGAGTTGAATTTGTTTACATTGCATGTTAAATGATTATTAAATATGGTGACAAAATTATTAAAATAGCCATGTTTTGGAAGAAACTCTCAACCACCAAGCTGGACTCAGTGGCTGAGGGAAGTGTCATTCTCAAACTTGAGAAACTAGGACTCACATTAAATGGCTCTTCTTTTTTGGAATTAATAAAAGCTAGACTCTAAACCCCCACTTAATTAATAACTCCATGTGAAGTAAGTCATATTCACTTTTTAAAAATTGTTTTATTTTTGATTACATCTTGTAGCCAGTCATAATAGTTTGGGCCCTGATTAGGCCATTATCTGCTGCAGCTGCCTGTTCCTTTGAAGGTTTTATGTATACTTTTCTTTTTCTTTTGTAATGCAGTATAGCAGTTTATACGTTGTTAAAACACAATAAAAAAGTGTTAAAAAATAGCCATGTTTTTGTCATATCCACCAACACAAAAATTGTCTTTGTAGAGTATAAACTTTATTTATATAGCAGTTTTCATACATAAAGAATGCAACACAAAGTGCTTCACACAATAAAACACATAGACACACACACACACACGCAGATATAAATTCAGAGACTGTGATGCTAAAGACTAAAATTCTAACGTTTCTTATAAAAACAGGAACTGAGGAAACTGAGGAAACGAAGTGGGGAAACACCAGAGACCATTTTAGATCCGTCGATAAATAAGTAAATAAATACGTTTAAAAAAAAAAAGTAACGAAATAGAAGAATATGCCAGCTAAAAAGACAGACTATTGAAGTAAATAAATACACAATTATCATAAATACAAAATTAAAAAATAAATTAATTAAACAATAATTAAATAAAAATAATTAGGACATTTCCTATAATGACGCGTGTACCATAATACATGCAAATTTTAGCCTCTACTGGCGACATTTGCGGTTTTTATTGTCCTAAATTTTGGCGTATTTTCCTATTTTGTCCATTTCTTTTGTCTCCGTACCAAACTCCGTGCTTTTATTTTGAAGGCGAGCCCCATGGTTGGCTTGACAGATTAGGATCCGCCCTTCTAACGAGGTCGCCATGGAGACCGCGCGAGAGCGAGGCAGCTGGTAGAGTTCTCACAGCGAGTGTTTCCGCTCACCTAAAATAAAGAGCTGGCGAGCCGAGCGGACCGGGAACAACAGAGCGGTGCTGACGGAACTAGACGACGAGAACATTATTATTTATATATTTGGTGTTAATTCGCCATATTCTGGTTTTGGGGAGTCTCCATTTTTCACGAGCGTTAATGCCTCGACTGTGAAGCAGTGAGAGGAGGGCTCGCCGCTGGTAACCTTTACGTTGGTGAGTCTTGTCTGTTTTTCGCAAGCTAAGCACACACAGGCCACTACGAGCTTTCTTGCGCTTGTCTTTCCTCTCGTCGACGACAGCATTAAAAATATAAAAACACGTTTCGCACGCTAGCGTAACATTCACCATTGACTCAAGGAGAGTAATGAGTTGGCAATTTTGCGTTAAACTAACTAGCTAAAGTGTTAATTAAGCTAGCCGCGTCAACTGACAAACGTTAATAAGCTATCTGTTAACGTTACATTGCGCTTTTTGACAAGTCTGCTGTATTAATTTAGCTGAAATATTTTATTAGACGCCATAAATTAGCTTGACAAAGTGCTTAAAGGTACAATAAAAGCGGAAAACCGGCTGTAGTAGCTAGTTAGTCCTGTCTCTAACAGTTAACAGCTGTAGCGTTACTGTAGTGTTACATTCAAGTACAGTAAAAAAAAAAAAAAACATGTCGGACTATATACAAATTACACATGGTGTTTTAACGTAAGCCTAAGTGAAACAACGATCTAACAACTGTATGTGTAGCTACATTGTTAGAATGGGTTTGCTTTGGTTGTGTCTTTGTTTTTGTCCTGTGTGTGTGTGTGTGTGTGTGTAGTCCTGGCAGCCCACCACACTCTTTGTTTAAATAGCTCGCAGTACAGTTGCACGTGTCGAAGCGTGTGACTCTGCTTTAGAGCTGCCATAAAGGCAGTTGACCACGTTTCATGCAGTCGCAGGGATGTGTTACTGAGCTCTGAGGGTCTGCCTTGCTCGGATATTTCCAACACTGCAATTTCCCACACCCTCGCTTTATTCCAGTAAGAGTTTCTCGATAGGTTGGCAGGGGAGGATATGACACTTAACCACAGCAAAGGGCAGGGAAGTCCAAAGGTGGGCTGTTGTATATTATCATAATGGAGACAAGGATTAAATACATATTGAGGGTTTATGAAGTAAAGTATCTGGGACTAATGTTCCCTCTGAGCAAATAGTTTGGTGGGCTGTGTCTAATATAAGGCTAACCAATGTTTTGATCACGTTGTTGTGCACCACATGTTGTTGTGAGAGTTGAGGTGGTTGTGATCCCTACTTTACATTAAGGTTGGATTTTAGTTTACTTTTTGCACCAATGTGATGATCTAGCTCTAGGTGACTGTTATTTGATGCTCTATAGTCGTAACATATAAAAATACTTTTCCATAATGCTGGATTTTATCCACGTAACCCACCCTAGAGGTGTTCTTTCTTCTCTAACATGATTTATTACCATTGCTGTAAATGTATTCTGCCCCC